AAAAAAAAAAAAATGCATATAACCTTTGGCTCCCAAATTCTAATTATACAAATTTATCTATCTAATTGTGCTTACACATGCCAAATGATAAATATACATGAACTTTCATTGCAACAGAATTTGTAATAGCAAAAGATTGCAAGAATCTCTATGTTCATCAGTAAGAGACTGGTTAAATTGTGTAAACTCATATAGTAGAAACTGCTACAGATACCAAAAGAATAAGGCAATTCTGTGCATTCTGAAATGGACTGGAGCTCCAAAGTATTGTAAGTTAAAAGAATTAAAATGGAGATGTACAATAGAATAAATATTCTCATTCTCAGATATTCATTTGTGTATACAACATTTATATGGTTGTATATGGTGTATTCACATTTATATGGTTTATATAGTAAGTTAAAAGAATTAAAATGTAGATGTACAATAGAATAAATATTCTCATTCTCAGATATTCATTTGTGTATACACATTTATATGGTTGTATAATCATAGAGTATTTCTAGAGGTTTCAAAAGAAATGGTATTGATGTTGGCTACAGGGAAAGAAATTTGGGTGAAGTGTGGTAGGAGAGTACCAGGCTAACCAGGAAACCTTTCATATGCTATGCTCAGGGTTTTTTGTTTGGGGGTTTTTTCAGCTTTTTATTCAAGTATGATACATACAGAGCGAGAAGTACACAGATCATGAGTTTACGATGAATTTCACAAACTGAATACACCCTTGTAACCACCACCACCACCCACCCACCCCAGTATAAAGTAAACATAACAGTTTCCCTCAGGCTCCCTTCCAGTTACTGTCTCCACCTGACAAGAATAGTAACCACTATCTCAGACTTCCCTTCCTTTTTGTATCTTTGGAGTTTTCTGCTATTTTGTATGTATTGAATAATCAAAGAAACGATTTACATTTCAGAATTCGTATGTCAGGGGAGAGATAGATGAAACAGATGATCATTAATGGCAGCTGAATTCATATCAAAGTGTTCTACTTAATGCATTGACTAAAAAAACAAGACATTTTCAGCCCAAATATACCTGCTTTTTTTCTTAATTTTTTTTTTTTTTTTAACTACCATCTTTCATTTTTTCAGCTGGCTACCATGTGTGGCTGTGGGCAGTGGAAGCTTTTGCCAAACAGCTGTGTTTTCAGGATCAGTATGTCAAGGCTGCTTCTCACCTACTTTCTATCCACAAAGTGTATGAAGCTGTGGAGCTGCTTAAGTCAAACCATTTTTACAGGTCTGTATGGTAATGTGGAAATAATCTAAACTTCTTTTTTGTTGAAGTAACACAAATAGAAGAAACAGCATAAAACAAATGAAAAGCTTAATGAATTCCCTTTTTAATTCACAAGAGGAATTCCCTTTTTAATCCCCATCTATGAAAGGGAGCAGAATCTTGCCCAGTACCCCCAAATTTTCCATGTACCCGGCTTATTTTTTTAAAGAAATATATAACACACTAGCCCGGTGCAGTGACACATGCCTGTAATCCTAGCACTCTCGGAGGCCCAAACAGGTGGATTGCATGAGCTCAGGAGTTCCGGACCGGCTTGAGCAAGAGCAAGATCCCCATCTCTAAAAATAGCTGAGCAGGGCGCCTGTGGTCCTAGCTACACAGGAGGCTAAGGCAAGAGGACCAGTCGAGACCAAGAGTTTGAGGTTGCTGTGAGCTATAATGGCATAGGACTCAAGCCCAGGGTGACTGAGTAAAACTGTCTTAGGGGAAAGACATATATAACATATAGAAACATATATATAAAACATATATATATGATAAAATCTAGAATTAGTTGAAATTTCTTTCCCCAATTCTGTGCTCATCCTCTCTTCTCTAGAAGTAGCCAGTCTCCCTGATGCTGGTATGAATGCTTTCTGCCCAAGCATTCATCAAATACATTCTTCCACTACAGTACATATACCCATAAGCAAAAGGAGAAAAATATTTATGTAGACAACATACTTGAATCTTATTTTTTATTGAGATTGACGGTCTCTGTCCTTTTTATTTTTATTCTTATTTTTGAGACAGAGTCTTACTTTGTCACCCTCAGTAGAATACCATGGCTTCATAGTTCACAGCAACCTCAAACTCTGGGCTTAAGTGATCCTCTTTCCTCAGCTTCCTGAGTAACTGGTACTGTAGGCACCTGCCACAATGCTTGGTTATCTTTTTTTTTTTTAGAGACAGAGTCTCACTTTGTCGCCCTGGGTAGAGTGCCGTGGTGTCACACAGCTCACAGCAACCTCCAACTCCTGGGCTTAGGTGATTCTCCTGCCTCAGGCTCCTGAGTAGCTGGGACTACAGGTGCCTGCCACAACGCCTGGCTATTTTTTGTTGCAGTTTGGTCGGGGCTGGGTTTGAACCCGCCACCCT